GAATCACGTCAATTCATCTCTCTGTTTGACGGTGAGAGACGGACAAACAAACAGACACTCACTCTCACATTTATACTGTAGTATGGAAGTGTTGATGACCAATTGGATTTTCGCTAGTCTTATTGTTATCAGCACTATGTCAGTTTTGAATTATATAAATAAAGTTTACTTATCTCTCGACCATACATTATTTATTTATTATTATAGGTGTATCTTGTCGCGGAGAACCTAACGGGTAACCGGGGCTCCGGCTCGACGTGTAGGAGAAGGAACGGGGTGGTTTTTACTCAGTGAGAGTCTGACACTCCCTCCCACCTCACCCAGGCGGGAGCAGTCATTCGATGATTTTCCACCTTAAAAATAAAATTATAGGTGTACCTTAATTTCTGCATATGTCGTAGGTGGATTGTTCAGCAAACAAATGTTTAACATTTCGTCATTTCGACAGCACTATCAGAATCACCACCTACGAAAACTATGTAAACGTCACCCATAAGTCCCGTGACAAATAAGTAAATGTAAAAAAAGTGCAGCCGCCATCTTGTATTTACATTTTGACAGCACAACTATGGTGATAATTTTGTATAGGCGCCATATTGGAATAACGTTTCATTTTAAGACTACAAAATATGATGATGACCACTGAGACCATCCATTGTAAAATAATGACAATGAAGCTAAACGTGTGCCGTCATATTGTAGAACGTTTTGCATTGACAACACGACTAATCGAGCAGTCGCCGTATCACAAAACGGCCCTGCTGTAATAAATGGCTAGGCGTACTGTAATACGGCGGATGATACAATTCGCCTACGTCATATACATAGTATTAAAAACTTAGATAACAATAGGTATTAGGCTTATTTATTCGCCAATTATAGGTTAACTAACTTTATAATTGAGTGATAAGAGTCTATAGAAACGAACACGCATAAATAATTTAGATAAATTAAAAAATATAAAGTAGTCAACGTATGTATGAATCTGGGTATTTGTGTGTTTGTAAGTCACCGATATAGTCCAGCAGATTACCGCACGGTTGGCGCAGTGGCTGAGTGATCGGCTGTTGAGCATCGTGTCGCGGGTTCAGCAAGTTTTCTGACTAAAATGACCATTATTAGCCCGGAGTCAGGAAGTATGGTGGTGTTTCCGCGTCTTGTGCACTATAATATCTCCTGCGTAGTGGACCAATCAGACAAGGATGCTCATTACTAGCGCTATGCTAGCCAAGCTATGTGAGACGCGGAGAACCTAACGGGTAACCGGGGCTCCGGCTCGACGTGCAGGAGAAGGAACGGGATGGTTTTTAGTCAGTAAGAGTCTGGCACTCCCTCCCGCCTCACCCAGGCGAGAGCAGTCTTTCGATGATTTTCCCCCCTTAAAAAAAGACTAAAAACTAAAAATAGAACTAATGTTGATAGTTAGTTGGATAATTAGATAGTGTTGTGCAGTTACGTCATTTTCTGAATGGCGGTGTTAAGATTTTCCGCGCGAGAATCACCATCGACCGTGTTTCCTTCACCGATTGAATTTAGTTTGGTGTCTTAAAAGTTCTCGAGTGTGTTGTAATAGTACGAGAGATGACGACCAAAACCATGTCTCATAGCAATACGGCAAAAACCCTATAAAATCGTTAGATTGTATGATTCTGAACCCGACTAGGTGTGTAGTAACGGTCGAAAGTGTAGCAACTGCGTGGGAGGCCATTTCTGCTGTGTCAAAAATATCTGAGTATCGAAAAGTTGCCTGATAGAGAAGGTGCTACACTTATTTTGTCTGATATACATTTTTTGCACATGTGGACAACTTATTTTATCATGCCCAATTGAATTTTCAGACATATTGCCATGATACCGATCGGTAAAATTTGTTAACATTTTCAAAACGGTCTTAATATTTAATGCGTTCACATTTCCGTCTGAAAATTGTTTTGTTCACATCAAATGACCAAAATTTACTAATAAATAAGCTTTTCAGACGTATTGCTATGAGACATTTTTTTTATCTGGTGTTTTTGTGGTCAGATCCAACGCTACGCGGAAAATGTCTGATATTGGTATTTTCGAGTTTGAGGCGGTTTTGGCCGTATTGCTATGAGACAAAAATTTTGGTCGTCATCTCTCTAACTATAAAAGGTCTTTGGCTGATTGGAAAATTGTCGCTGATTGTGTTGATTGGAAATTTAGTTTCGTTTGGTCATTGGTTTGAAGTCCGAAGTAAAGATACTACTTGATATTTAAAACAAGTAGAATAGGCATGAGATATACCTGCTTTATTCTATACCCGGGCTTTAAAGTATGGCCGTATACTCAATATTTAAAACCCAGTTATGTTATGTTTGCCGTTGCATGAAATTTTCAATTTATCGTCATGGGTGTCGTTTTCATGGTTTTCGAGATTGGTGAAAATGATAGTTGTCAAAATGTAAATGTAAGATGGCCACTGCTTGAAAATTTCAACTGTTTTTCATGGGTGCCGTTTTCATGGTTTTCGAGGGCGAAAACCGATGGTGCTGTCAAAATGTAAATAAAAAATGGCGGCTGCACAAATTTTTTTATTTATCGCCATGGATATCGTTTTCATGGTTTTCGAGGGTGGTAAAACCGATGGTGCCGTCAAAATGTAAATCCAAGATGGCGGCTGCACAAATTTTTTTATTTATCGCCATGGATATCGTTTTCATGGTTTTCGAGGGTGGTAAAACCGATGGTGCCGTCAAAATGTAAATCCAAGATGGCGGCTGCACAAATTTTTTTATTTATCGCCATGGATATCGTTTTCATGGTTTTCGAGGGTGGTAAAACCGATGGTGCCGTCAAAATGTAAATCCAAGATGGCGGCTGCACAAATTTTTTTATTTATCGCCATGGATATCGTTTTCATGGTTTTCGAGGGTGGTAAAACCGATGGTGCCGTCAAAATGTAAATCCAAGATGGCGGCTGCACAAATTTTTTTATTTATCGCCATGGATATCGTTTTCATGGTTTTCGAGGGTGGTAAAACCGATGGTGCCGTCAAAATGTAAATCCAAGATGGCGGCTGCACCAATTTTTTTTATTTATCGCCATGGGTATCGTTTTCATGGTTTTTGAGGATGGTAAAACCGATGGTGCTGTCAAAATGTAAATCCAAGATGGCGGCTGCACGAAATTTTTTATTTATCGCCATGGGTATCGTTTTCATGGTTTTCGAGGGTGGTAAAACCGATGGTGCCGTCAAAATGTAAATCCAAGATGGCGGCTGCACAAATTTTTTTATTTATCGCCATGGGTATCGTTTTCATGGTTTTCGAGGGTGGTGAAAATGATGGTGTTGTCAAAATGCCAATCCAAGATGGCCGCTGCCCGAAATTTTCAATTTATCGTCATGGGTATCGTTTTCATGGTTTTCGAGGGTGGTGAAAATGATGGTGTTGTCAAAATGCCAATCCAAGATGGCCGCTGCCCGAAATTTTCAATTTATCGTCATGGGTATCGTTTTCGTGGTTTTTGAGGGTTGTAATAATGATCTAAATCCAAGATGGCGGCTGCATGTTTTTATTTTCTTCTTTTTTTAAAAGCTTTGCCCCACATTAGGATTGTCTCCTGTGTCGTGGGTGCGTTTACAAACATACAAGTTCACATACACAATGACACCCAGACCCGAAACAATTTGTGGATCACACAAAGTGTTGTTCCCTGCGGCAATCGAACCTGCGACACGTTGCACGGCAGCCGGTTGCCCAGCCACCGCACCAACCGTGCAGTCGATGTAATTTTTAATTTATCGTCGTGGGTGTCATTTTCACGTGACTACATTGTATTTGGGTTTGTATAATTTGTATTGATTATAACTTTGCGCCTATGTGGATTATAAGTGGCAAAACAGGTCTATGTAGCTTTACACTAAAAATAACAAAATAAAAAAAAAATGTGTTTAAAAAACCGACTTCTCAAAAAAACTAAAACCTAAAAACAAATAAAAACTAAAAAGCAAAGGAATAACTATATTAGTACTGATAAGTTACTCACCCACTGACCGAATTTTAGTCGGTGCCATAAGCTCATATTTTTGACAACCCTGGCCGATGCGTTACTGTTTAGACGATGTCGACATTTTACACGAGATCAAAGTCGTCGTCCTACTGTATCAATACATAGTGTAAAACAAAGTCGCTTTCGCTGTATGTCCCTATGTATGCTTAGATCTTTAAAACTACGCAACGGATTTTGATGCGGTTTTTTTTAATAGATAGAGTGATTCTTAAGGAAGGTTTGTATGTACATATACATATTGCACCCGTGCGAAGCCGGGGCGGGTCGCTAGTATTTTATATACTGTGGTTCTGTCATACGATTTGGTTTGACAATACAATAAAAGTACCGGGTAGTGACCGGGTTTCTGCTTACATATTATACCTGTACCAGTAAATACGTATCATCCCTAAAGTAGAAGTATTTACTTCTGAGTTTGAATAGTGCCAATCGTTACAGTGAGTGTAGTCAATTCGTTAAGTCGCGACCACGAACAGACGCACAGGTCTTTAAAATTTTGTCGGTTTTGTAGGTATATTGCTTTGATATTTTCCTTGAAAATGCCTCAAAGAAAAAAAACAACAACTTTTTGTATATGCTCCGGGTAATCCCACCGCTAATATAGTAGAGGTATATAGGGAAGCATTAACGTAATCAACTAGATACCAATATTACCAAATAAAAATTTACTACAGTCAGGATCTTTATTGGCAAAAAAGAAAATAGATACTATACCACCTTCTTGAGTGGAGTTTATATGTATATAGCCTACTGTTATATAAACAATTTCGTTTTGTTTTCGACAACCACGCGAAGAAAGTCGCGGGCACAGCTAGTATTAAATATGTAAGTCACTTTCACCTGCAATTATCCATCAATAATTCCATCAAGGTCAAACTATCTTGTATTTGTTTTATCTGTTAGGCATGTCACCGACTTATTTAAGCGAACTCGAAGGTCTTCAGAACACAATCGCCGTCGAGAGCAAACATGTTCCTGAGCAAAGCATTCGTCGTTCTCCTCGTCGCTTTCTTGGGGACCTCATGTAAGTCAACATTTATAACTTAGGTACTTATTTTGTTCTTTTCAATTATATTTTGTTTGATCACGCGGAGAAGGTTAGAAAATTAATCACCATGCTTACTCAAAGCGGGTTGGCGATTTTAAACTTATAATCACAATCACTAATTATAAGCCCAGGTTTTCTCACGATGTTTTCCTTCACAGTTTGTCAGTGGTATATCAATAATCATAGAAAGTACATATAACACGGAAAAAGTCACATTGGTACTTGCCTTTGGTTTCGGATCCGCACGAAGCATGAGAAGCGACTATATATCATCATTACCTAAACGCCCACAAATGGGGCCCTTAGGTAATGAGGGGCTGGTGTAGGGCTGGTGCCCGGCTAGGATTGCGGGGCACAATGGGTTACCACGGCCCGGCTCGGAGAAGGAGTTAGAGGAGCGTGGATTTTCGTCAGTAAAAGTCTGATACCCTCTCACTCATCCAAAGCCGGTTGAATCGTTCGATGATTTTCAGCCCTCTCAGAAAAAGTTGCTCTAAATTAAAGCACTAAATGGATTTCATATTCATAACATC